AGCTAGAGGAGCACACTTAGAGGAAATCACACAACTCTAATTATATTAATAATGCAAAAGGAAAATTAATTACCCATTTAAAATCTCAGATTTTAAAAAATATTTTTGAGAAGGCAAACTGACCTCAGTTAAAATTTAAAATTAGTATCCCCTTTCACTCAAAAATTCTGTTTTTGTGATTATCCCCTGAAAACAAAGCACTGGTTCATAAGGACACCATGTGCTGAGGTCCATTATGCAAAGTGTCCAGTATGCGCACTGCTACTTGACACCTACAGAGAATCAACTGAAGCTGAATCGAAAATTTGAAAGCATTTCCACAAAAATTAGGTGAAAAAAGCAATACAGAAACGTATGCATAGAAAATCTTATCAGTAACAGTGAAAATTCCTATTTCTGAATATGTAGAAAAATGCAGAACATTTACAAAAAAGTTAAAAATAGCTGTAGTGATCAAGGATCCACATATTTAGATTTCATTCATATAAAATTCTACACACAAAAAAAAAAAAAACCAAAAAGAAAACTGACAAAGCAAGGAAAAGCTGGTTGTGTGGAATATATCTATGATCCCAGCCACTCCAGAGCAGTAAGGCAGGGAAAATCGTAAGTTCCAGGTCAGTCTGGACAACTCAGTGAGACCCTGTCTCAAAACAGGACTCATGCATGCCTGTCATCCCAGCATTCAGGAGGCTTTGGCGGGAGGATCGTGAGTTCGATGCCAGCCTGGGTAACGCGGGAAGACCCTGTCTGCAAACATAAAGAAAAATAATCGGGGCTGTAGATCACTAGTACAGCATTCCTTGCTTCAATCTCTAACACTGCAAAAAAACAACAAAAATATATATTAATTAATTAATTAAAGAACTATTTGTTGTAGGAGGATAACCTATTAACTAATCTAACTTTCCAGAGAAACTTTTAGCCAGGCGTAGCGATGAATCTCAATTTAGCAATGTAATAAGAGCCTGTCTCAAAATAAAGTGAAAAACAAAGGGGGGATGTAGTGAAACAGAAATTCTGACCTAACTGCAGCCATTCTGTTCCATAACACTACAGTCACTGCTCTCTGCCACTGAACTCAATTAAGTCATATGATCTGTCCTCAAACTGAAACTTCCCTGAATGTGCTAAAAACAGCTCTGCTACATATAACTATGCTCACCACAAGACACCTCCTACCACAACCTTCAGGAAAACCTTCTCTCACTCTTGTTACTGTTTGTGCCCTATAAACGAACCAAGCTCTCTGCAATCAGTACCTCAGACTTTGGAGATTACTTCTCTGGGCTCCGCTAGTATCAATAAAATTTCCTTTCTTCTCCTGAGCTCCTGGCTACTGTGGACTAAATTTTTCCAGCAACAATAGCTCAGTGCAAAAATCCTTGGTTCAATTGCTGCACCTCCAAAAAAAGAAAAATAAAGCTTTGGTCTTAAGTTACTTTTCTCTCACTGCTCGGACAAAATACCCGACACGCCAAGTTAAAGGAGGAAAGGTTTATTTAGCTCACAGTTTGTGGAAGCTTCAGTCCATAATCAGCTGGCTCCAAGCAGGGTGGCAGGGCACAGGGGCAACCACTCATGGTGGCAGAAGATAGCAAAAGCAACAAAAGCAAAGGGGGTAGGAGCAAGCCTCTTTTCTTCTGTTCCAGTGAAAGCAGGCTACCTGGCCTAGGAAGGGTATCACACTCACATCATCTCAGTGCCCCATGTCCCTGCTCTCCTCTTGCACAGGATGAGGATGTTCACAGAGGACCCTGGCTCCCCGCTGAGTGGATTAGCTAAACTTCTCAAGCTGACACAATGAATCAACCATTATATCACCCTAGGGCTTAAACATCTGCCCTCAGACATGTCTCTACAACCTATTAGAACTACTGAGTCAAGTAACCTTCTAAACTTCTCAAGTTGACACAATGTATCAACCATTACAGGTTTTATACTGTTTTTCACTTACACATTAAGTCTTAATTTCTTTTTGTTTTTCTTGTTTTTCTGAGATAGGGTTTCATTACGTATTGCAAGCTGGCCTTGAAATTGCAGTGATCCTCCTGTCTCAGCCTCCCAAGTGTTAGATTAACAGGTGTGCACTACCACAAATGGCTGCTAGGTCAAACTTACAAAATACATTGTTGTGACACAGCAGGTTTGCAATTTTATGTCTTTAAAATTTGGCCACCACTATTTACTCTTAAGTCCACTGCGTCTACATTTGGTCTCAAGTGCTACCATTGCCACCCCCAAGCCACTCCACATGCCAGTTTAAGTCTGCTTCACTGGGACACTGGGCACACCCGGGCCACTGCACTACTCTTCCTTCCTTCAGCTCTCATTTTGGACATGTAGCATCTTGGGTCTTCACATCTTTTTTAAGGCTATTTTTGCCAAGCTGCCCTTTACTCTCTCATATTATTTTTGGAATCAGCACATTAATTTCTATGAAAAAAAAAACCTTGATTTTTGTCTGGAACCATATTGAATTCATATTTTAATTTGGGAAAAACTGGCATCTTTCTGGAAGTATTCTCAGTCAAAGACATATTTAGCTCCTTTTCTTCTCCTTTCTTTTGCAGTACTAGGGACTGAACTCAAGGCATTAGACTAAGCTACCTGCCCAACAAGCTCGAGATGTGCCCCAGTGAAGAAAAGCACTTGCCAGCACGTGCAAGGCCCTGGATTCAATCTCCAGGATCACACCAAGCCCCTCTCCTTGAAGATTGTCTAAGACAGTGTCTTGGTTACTTTTCTCTCCTTGCTGGGACAAAATACCTGACGCCCAAAATTAAGGAAGGAAAGTTTTATTTCGTTTATAGTTTGTGGAGGTTTTAGTCCATACTTGGCAGGTTACAAGGCAGAGTGGCACATGGCAGAGGGCTACAGCTCATGGGGCAGAACACAGCCAAAGCAACAAGCACCCAAAGGGAGGAATGGCCCCAAGCAGCCTTTTCCTCTCCCTTACATATGCAAACTATCCACCCCAAGACAGGTGTAGCTCTCACACCCATAATCAATCAAACTCTAAAAGCCTGCCCCATGGCCACATGAGGCTTTGGGGGGACACCCAGACACAAACCATAACAGAAAGGGTCTTAGATATATAGTTCAGGCCAGTCCAGAACTCACTGTGCAGCACAGCTGCCCTCAAATTCAGAGTGATCCTTTTGACTCGGCTTGCCAGGATGCTGGGATTACAGGAGTGTGCCAACTCACCCAGTTTCTCTCTTTTTATGTTTTATTTTGAGACATGGTCTCACTAAGGCAGGTAGGCTTGGCGCCCAGTCTGGGTTTAGATACCCAGGCTGGACTCACACATGAGATCTTCCCGCCACAAATTCCCAGGGGTGCAACACCATTCCTGGCTATGCTTTGCTTCTTTGAAGTATGTCCTTTAGAAGTAACGCGTCATTTCCTCTGCACAGATCTTACACTTCCTGGCAGACTTATCCATTATTTAGGCAGTATTATTTTAAAATTATATTTCCTAATTTATGTTGCTGATAACTGTTTCTTCTTACCATGAATTTGAGTAAACTGCTAATAGCTCTAACACCCCCTAGACATTCCTGGATTTTCTGCATACATAAATGTAATCTTTAAATTTTTTTGTTTCTTTTGTTGTGGCTGTTGTTTCCCCTTTTTCTGCTGGGTATCTACATGTGTGTGGGAGCAATCCAACACTCTCAGAGGCTGAGGCAAGATCACACTTAGAGCCCAGCCTAGGCAGCTTAATGACTCCACGAGATCCTGTCTCAAATAATAAAACGGTCTGGGGAAGTAGCGCAATGTGAAGGCTCTGGGTTCGATCTCGAGTGCTGCCAAAACACAAGGGAAAACACTTTTCCGCTGTAACCTCTCCACCTTTATTTACTTTTCTTGTCTTTCCAGAAACAGCTGAGATGTCCATTATCTTGCTGTGTGAAACGGCAATAGCAGGTGTCACTGTTTTGCTCTGGTTTTAAAGCAAATGTTCTAACTTTCCCTTTCAGCACAGCAAATGCTACGGATAAGGTCAAGGAAATTCTCTTAAATTTCCAGCTGGCTGGAAACCTTTTCTAACGACTGAGTGTCCCACTTTATCAAAGCATGTTTTGCAGCACTCCTCCTTTCTACTGCTTCTCCTGATACCCAAATGAGACCTGAATGCGGGACTGTAGGACCTACCCAGCGACTGATGCCCAGCAGTTTCCTCAGCTGTTTACACAGCCAGGGGACGGCAGACCAATGGCTGGGTGCTGCTCACTGCCAGGGAAGGCCTCCCTTGCTGCTCCTGCTCACTCCAAGACCCTCCCTGTGCTACTGTGCTCAGCTCTGGCCACAGATTGTCTCCTCTAACCTTCCTATCAGGTGCCTCTATGAGCAACCGAAGCTAACAAAGACAGAGGTCCTTTCAAAATGTTCTTTAAAACAGGATTTTATTAATCAAAATAAAGCAACTAAGAACATCTTAGAATACACTTTGTAAGAACACAAGTATTCCAGAAGGCTGTTTCTGAAACAAGTGCTTTACTTCCAATGCAGCACACGATACCTCATACTTCATGACACATTAAGAGTATTAACTTACAAGAATACAGCAAGCATTGAAATTAATTTAAAATATGCATTTGCAGTATCAATTACACAATGTCAACAGATGCAGCATGTTAACTACCACTTCTATAATAGTCATAAAAAGATTTTAACGCTTACTGCTTTTAAAATTTAATTTAATTTATTTATTTTGGTTATTTCAAACAGTCTCGCTCCATAATTCAGGCTGACCTCAAAACTCACTACACAGCCCAGGCAGGCCTCAAACTCCTGGTGATCCTCCTGCCTCAGCCTCTCAAGTGCTGGGATAATGGGTGTGCATGACTATGCCTAGCTTGCTGTCAAAATTTCACATCCTAGTATTTTCAGTTATGTGCCTGAGGTCAGCACACATTACAGAGAGCACACTTTAATTAAAGCTCGCTTTAGTACTTCATTAAAGTCCTTTTGTTGCGATTTTATCTTTTTACCTGTAATCACTCTGGCGGCTTGCAGAATGATCATCTCTTGACCATCGGTAGCCAGATTCATCCTGTAACACAAAGTTAGTAAGAGTTAACAACTGTTGGGCAACCAGGATATATCCAGCAGTACTACTGAAATCTAACCTTTACGGCCAAAATCCTTTAAAGGAAAAATACTTTACTTCTCATATTCCTAAGCTTCAAAGACAACAAGCAGATAGTAACTGAAAGTAGGTGGTAACTGAGAACTTGTGGCACCATTTTCCTCTGCTAAAATCATCTCTGGTTCACTTGGTAGCTTCATACTGTACAGGCGTCCTGCCAAAGACACAAACGCCAACAGCTAACAGTTCATGGCTGCTGGAGGACAAAGGCTAAGCTACTTATCACTTCTCCACCCCTCATTTTCCAAGTTCTCCCATCAATTTTCAGATTCAAGCTCAAAAGAAAACTTGCTACTTTTTCCACTTTCCTAGCTCAAGTTTTCTTCTCACACGTTCTCTCTCATTAAGTAACACAACTAAAAGCAAACCAGTAAAGAGCTCTCCTCCATAAGCTCTGTTACAGCTACTATGTAGCACTAAGTTCAACAGTAATCAACACACTTCGCCCTCGAAGACACATTCACAAAAGCACATAAAGGAACAGTAGTAATCCATGCCCCATTTAAAATTACACAGGAAATTATAACATGCCAATTACTTATAATCAGGGAAACTGATTCAAGAAGAAAAACTCTTCATGTTCCTCTTTATCAACGTACTCCCACTCTTAAGTAAAATTTATGCATCACTTTCCTTCTCAACATTAAATATAAACAAAAGAAAACAATTCAACAGCTACAACAAAATACCTGATCAAGTAAGTAGTCTGTTTTGTTTGTGAACTCCAGATAGTAATTACTGTGAGAACTGTTAAGGATCACAGCATGCTTGATATTTGAAGAGAATTTGAAGGAAAATGTTATACAAAGCGTGATTTCTTTTGTTTCAGGGTGCTGGGCACTGAAACCAAAGCCCTGCGCACACTAGGCAAGGAAGTGCAGCCGCAGCGCCAGCCCGGACAGACAGAATTTAGAAGAACAGTAAGAAACAACTATGCTATTCTGGAAGCACTTTATGGGACAAGTTTTAAGGGTTGGGGGGCGCCCACGTTCATAACATTTCAAAAACTGGTCCAAAGAATACACAACTTCCTGTCTGCATTGAAAGACCACAAAGGGTTTCTGCAAGGCGGGTAACAAATGTTTACCCCACAATCAAGTTGCTCTCCATGCAGAATGACTCTGCTGGCAAAGTCTAGAACTCAGCCCAGAAACAATGCACAGCATTTACTTTCAACACCTGGCTCTGCTTCACAAAGGAACAGCATGGCAGGTAAGAGCTGAACAAGAAAATCAATTCCATGACAAGGAGCATATGACACTCCAAACTTCAGCAATAAACACAATAAAATAATGAATAGTCTCACAGGCACTTTTGCATGTCAAAGGCACTATTACATAACAGGAAGAGAACAAAAGGCCCTAAGTGCCCAACCTGGGAAACTGCTGACCTCCGTTTCTTGAGGTGTAAGCTTGGGGATCAATCCAAGAGCCAGTGTGAGGTCATAATAGTGTTTAAATGTGTATGGTTAATGGTTATTTGCTATGTTAAATATAGTACAAAAGGGGAAAATGGAAGAGGTACAAGACGTATATGAGATGAGTATCGTTAAAATGCAAGCTTTGGCTGGGGATATAGCTCAGCAGCGCAAGGGGGCAAGCACAGGTGCTCAGGTCAATTCCCAGCACACACACACACAAAACTAAGCTAAAACACAAATTGTGTCCGAAATACTTTTAAACAAGTTAATAACAAACTAGTGCAACTTTATGAACTTCCAGCTTATCAAGAGAAAAACTGTAATAGTAATAGTAATAATAGCAGTTAATCTTTTTAAAGTGCTTACTATATGACATGAGCAATATTTTGAAAACTTTTGCTGGGAAGGTGTTTCTGAGACAGGCTTTCTATATGCAGTTCAGGCTGGCTCAAACGCACTTTGTAGCTCAGGCTCACCTTGAACTCACACCCATCCTGCCTCAGCCTCCTGAGTGCTAGGACTCAGGCATGAGACACTACATGGGCCAAGTACATTTTAACATGAACTAGGCAAACAGACTTTACAAAACAAATAAAAATGAGACTATCACCAACCTTAAGCCATCCTACGCATAGCATTTTATCATGATGAATGTACAGTAATTGCAAGTGGGTACGCCCAGTATGAAATGGAACTACCTGCTCATCATTTTCTAAGTATGAAGGCAAGAATTTATGCAGCTCTGCTAATTTAAAGGATTAAAAAAACAACCTAGGCTGAGACATAGTTTAGTGGTAGAGCCCTTGTCTACCATATGCAAATCCTTTGGCTTGACCCCCAGCACTGCAGAACAGCGAGCGAGCTGGAACAAACGGCCATGTGAGCTGTCCACAGTGCTTCCCCACCTGGGCCAGTACCCACATTCATGAGTGCAGTTCCCGCCTGACAGCTCCAGCGGGCCTTCAACAGAACATCAGCAGGAATTGCTTATTCAACTGCTCTTACGGCTGTCACACACATTTTAATTACATGAATTTTAAACTTACAAGAAATAACGGTTAGAACATGGGGAAAATTTACATACTCCTCTGTGAGGTGGACCACTTCTTCGATCATGAGAAAAAATGCGGCCCTCGTCATAGTCTCGGTAACCAACATGACTGTAATATCTACTGTAGCCTCCTTCACCGGGTCTGTCTAGCAGTGGAGGTTTCTTTTCTAGTAGTGGTGGTTTCTTTTCTAGCAGTGGTGGTTTCTTTTCTAGTAGTGGAGGTTTCTTGGGCACATTAACTACTCTATGGTAGCCATCCTAAAACAGACAAAAAAGAAATATATAAAAAAATCACTAATTTCTCTATTTAATTTTAGAAAAGTTTTTTTTTAAAGTACAGGAGAACTTATCCTTAATCAAATAGGATAAATACATAAACGAACAAAAATTCATTAATGATATAACAGGAACAGAACTAAGAGTAAAGTCTTTATGAGGATTAAAGGAAACAAAATGAAGGAAGTCAAGCATTCAAAATAATAAGCAGCAATGCCAAAAAATAAACACAACAAAACATTATCGTTTTCATTGAAAAAACTTCAGACAATAAGGATGTTATAACTCTCTAATATCCTAACAAATGTAGAAATAACATATATTTGGAGTACTGTGTGTGAACTACCCTATTTAGAAGTACAAGACTTTTACACACAACCAACAGGAAGCAAGGAGATGATGCTGAGCTAGAAAGATCACTTAGAAATATTTTGCTATTTCTTCAGCACAACTGAAGAAGAGAATCTATGGCTTAACAAGCTGAGAAGCAAAATAAAAGCTGATCCAAAATTGTGAATCGTTTTCAAAGTAATATGCTCTTGATGTTTTTACCTTTTCAGCAGCAGGGTGGGTTTTTTGTGGAGCAGCAACTTGGGGAATTGGACAGAGGAAGAACACTTGTCTCTGGTTAGCAGATGGTATAAAATAACTAAAAAAAGATTATCGCAACAAGAATAGAGAGCTACAGAACGTGTATCCACAATCTGCGCTAATGCACTCATGGTATTTCTAGCAGTATTGGGTGAAATATACGTGAAATAAATTTGAAAGTTGGATGCAAGGTAGGATTAATATATCACCTGATTCAACAACAAAAGCTCCACAAAAGGTAAAGCTCAACACTGACACCTGGTTAATTTAACAATCTTAAAGCTCAGTTTCTCATGCATAAAATAATATTAATATTGATACCCATCCCCATGAAGTTCGCAGGACTAAATGAGAAGCTGCATGTAAGGTGCTCAGGACACGTCCAGCACATGCTGGGTCCTCCAAAAATGTCTGCTGCATTATCACCCTTGCAAGCTTCTTTTAAAACAAACACTAAATTCCCCGTGGTGTTCCCTTATATTCTTTTACCATCACTCACAAAAAGTATTGAATTGCTATTAAATTACTGTGTAACAAATTTCCAACAGAAAATTTTTCAACTGTTAGGAAAAAATGAAGTCAATACCTTATAGCTATTGTGAAAGCTAAAAACATCTGTTTTCCCCCCCAGGGACAGGAAGCGCCCATGCAGCAGTATGTTCCATGTTAAACTGTGAGAGGAGGGCGGGTGTGTAGCTCAAGCGGAAAGTACTCACCGACCAAGCACAAGGGCCTGGGCTCAAAAATCAGCACAAGGAAAAGAAAAAAAAAAAGAAATTCTAAGATATATTTTTAAAAATTGTAAGATATATAAACGGTATTATATATCTGATTATATAAACGATGGCACACAGTGAATACACTGACACTTTTCTCCCCCAGAATTACCGTTTTTTCCCGTCTTTCACCGAGATTTCAATTAAATCTAAGCGAGTATGGAGCTTCTATATAAAATGGTTTTAAGCCAAAATTGGCAAAATTAAACATTTTCACAAGCATTTCTAATCCCAAATTAGTAATCCACAAAAGTAAACAACTAATTCTTCCACTTCCAAGAAACCCTGAAGCCCCGCCCCTGGCCCTCTGAAGTGTCTGTGCGTGTGCTGATACACAGGGCTGATAAAAAGTGTGCATGCACAACAAACACTACTACAACGCAGAGCTTCTACTTTACAAGCAGCCCTTTCCTCTGTCCAACTGCCCCGTTATTTACCAGAACACCGCCTCAAGATTCTGTATGATAAAACTTTCACAGAAATAAAACTCCAATCACATTTGAGTTATGTAGTTTCAAAACTGCCAGCAACAGGGCATGGTGGTACATGTAAGCCTAGCACTCTGAGAGGCTGAGGCAGGATGATCCTAAATTCAAACCAACCCTGGTAATTCAAGGACATGTGGAGACCCTGTCTCAGAATTTAAATAAAACAAAAAGGGCTGGGGATGTAGCTAAGTGTACAGGCCCTGGGTTCAATCTCCAGTATCATTCATTAATTAATGAAAATGCTCAGATAATTGGTGAGCAAAAAAATTCCCCGAGACAGCTTTTACATCCACAATGAGTATTCAAATGCGCACCTCCTGTATGTTTTGAAAAACTGTTTAAATAATAAATATACTTACAGTCAACCTCTGCTCTTTAGACATCAAATCTTAAAAGAAAACTTTCAACTTATATGAAAATATTTAAGGAAACAAAGATTTGAGATTTTCTCCTTCAGAAGCTTACATTTAAAAGTTAAAAAAAATTAAAAAAAAAAAACCCAGTACAATAAAGTTCAAGCAGTACCTCCTGTTACCTGCACTGTCAGACCCAAATGAAAATACGATTACTATGCAAAATTCTTACACAAATCTTACCCTGACTCGTAAATATATAATTTTCCTTTTTAAATAGGCATATCGCAGAGAGGGAATATGGTATTCAAGTTTGGAACTTCCACTTTAGGGATACCTATTAAAATAATGGCCACGGAAATACCATTATAATAACACAAAATGTGGAGGCTGAGGAAGTAGTTCCGTGGTAAAGCCTTTCCTAGCGTGCTCAAGACCCTAGTTTCGTTCTTCAATTCAGAAAAAAACAAAAAACTTGAACAGAAAATTTGAAAGCCTTACATACAACCAGAAATAAAACTTATAAAAGTATCTTTAAAAATTATTAAGGATAGTTGGATATGGTGTCACAAACCTTGTAGGCCCAGGACTTAGGAGGCTGAGTCAGGAGGACGGATAGTTTGAAGACAGCATGAACAACTTAGTGACACCTTGCAGGTAGGCAGGTAGGCAGGTAGGCAGGTAAGCATGTAGGCAGGCAGGGAGGCAGGCAGGCAGGCAGGCAGGCAGGGAGGCAGAGGCAGGAAGGACAGACTGGTGGTGTATCTCAGTGACAGAGCATTTTACTTAGTGGTATGCAAAGCCCAGGGGTTTAATTCCGGGAGGTAGGAGAGGGAGGAAGAAAGGGAACTCCAGGGAGCTGAAATTTCCATTATTTCAAAAACAAGTACTTCAAATGCAGGTCTGAATATAAATATCTCTCAATCTACAACAATGAAACCAATTTTAGCTGCTCGCTCTCTATATAAGTAACATTTAAAGTCAGAATATTAATACATCAGCTCCCCTCTCTAAGCATCTTTATCAGACACATACTTAAGTATTTATTTACACCTGAAATTCACCTCACAACAATCTGGGAGAGAAGAAAAGGGTAAAGGCACAGACAAAACACAAATGGCCTTCAGTAAATAGTTGCCCCTTGGGTGACCTGTCCATTGGGAAATGATCACATTATCTATTTTTAAATACATTATCTATTTTTAAATACACCGCAATACGATCCCTCCTATTTTATGACAAGTATTTTTATTATCACACCTACTGGTCTGATTCACTCCCTGATTCTTCAGTGAGATACTGCTGGTTTAGTCATTCCAAGGGTTTTCGAGGACAATAAAGCTAAGAGTATTGGCACTCCCCTACAAAAGAGTGAGGACATACTACTACAGAATTTGGCCGAGAAGTTACTGTATGTCTTTGAAAACAGCTACAACAAAAAGAAAGTCAAAGGCTAGTATGGTCAGGTGTGGTGGTGCATGCCTGTAATCCCAGTACTAGGGAGGCTGAGGATCACCATGAGTCCGAGGCCTGCAAGAACTACACAGTGAGACCTTGTCTCAAAAAACCAAAAAGCAAGAAACAACAACAAAAAAAGCCGGGTGTGGTGGCACACAGCTGTAACCCCAACACTCTGGAGGCTTCCCCACGCAGACCCAGCTTGTGCAGCTTAGCGAATCCCTGTCTCAAAATGTAGAATTGGGCCGGCAGCTCTGGGCAAAGGCCCTAGGTTCAATCTCTAGTGCCAAAAAACAAAAAGAAAGTTAAGTTCTTGCAATTCTGTCAGACAAGAAATTAAAATATCTCCAGGAGTACTTCTACACTGGGGGTCATTACTCACTTAAAATTCAGCCACTGAAGCACTTAATAGTTTGCATTTGACCAGGAATAGTGCCACACGCTTATAACCCCAGCTACTCAGAGGGCTGAGGCAGGAGGAGCACAAGTTTGAGGGCAGCCTGGAAACTTAGCGAGACTCTGTCTCAAAGAAATAAAAAGGGCGGGCAGCTATGGCACACAGTTTAGTACAAAGGTCCTGATTTCAATCTCCAGTACCAAATAAACAATAAAGAACACTGCACTCTAGCTAATAACACCCAAGCTTTAGTTCTTAGGAGGAAGAGGCACTTTGGCCCACAAATTACTCTGAAATGCATCAGAAAATTTAGAGATCAATAGGGTGGATGGATGGGTAACTGCAGAATAAAGCAAGTTCAGTAACAGGGCAACAGTTGGATCTAAGCAATATGGAAGTTCACTATAACATAAACACTGCTGTATGTTTGAAAGCTTTCAAAATAAAACACTGGGAAAAGTTCACGGGTAAATTTATATGAAGCTGGTTGCATAAAACACTGGCTTGGGAGTGCAGTTCAGTGGCAGCGCACTCATGCCTAGCATGTTTAAGGCCTTAGATTCAACCCCAACGCTGCAATCAAGCAACAGTAAAACAATAAGAAGTGGGCCTAAGAAGAAAATTAAAATACAGATATGAATATTCTGAATAAAGTGTTTCAGGAAATGAGTGGAGGAAAAGACTGTTTCAACACTAATACACTGTAAAGACTGTGAAGAAATAGATAAATGAATTACTAATAGACTAACAGTAATAAAATTACTAATTACTAATAGACTAATAAGAGTTAGGAATTACAGTTTCGGTACAATTACATTTGAAAACAACATGCCATGTACTTTCTAGGAAACCTCAGATACTATCAAAATTATGTTCTCAATTCACCGAAGATGAGAATTGTACAAATACTGTTAATGTT